CAGAAATCTGCTGAAGCAGAATTTGTAACAGAAGTTTTTGCTGCTGCAGCAGTGGTTAGCAGGAGTGGAGTGAGCTTAACGCAGTCTGGCAGTGTTTCTGTGAACAGTGACTGCAATGCAGACACACTCAGAACAGCCAAAGAGGAGTGGCTGCAAACAGCAAAGGAGTTAGAGTCTATCCCTCGTGCCAGAGATTTACTATGATGCTAGGCAATTAATTTCTTAATACCCAGTATTTTCTGAGGTGTGTCCCCAAAATGTTCCTCATTTTTACACACTGAAGACAGCTGGCTTTTTTGTCCCTGTCTGAGCTACACAGCAGTGGAGGGCTCTGGCATGGTACGTGTGTCCCTGCTGGGTGCATCTAATCCAGCCTGGAGAAGGGCCAGGCAGAAGTGATAGCTGAGGGCTCAGGGAGCTTGAGTGGAAGGCAGGTTTCTGTGTCTGGCTGAGTGTCTCCAGGCTCCACTGCTGTTTTATTAATTGGCTGTGTAAAGGGCTGTCCTGTTGGGAAAGGGTTGAAGGAGATCTAGAGTAATCTTGGTCTGCCTTGAGAAGAAGCTCAACTACTTTAAAGTGCTGGTTATCCTGGTTTAGGCTGGGATAGAGTTACTTTTCTTCTTAGTAGCTGATAGAGTGCTGTGTTTTGGATTTAGGATGAGAATAATGTTGATAGCTTGCTTATGTTTTGGTTGTTGCTGAGTAGTGCTTACCCTAAGTCAAGGTCTTTACAGCTTCTCATTCTGCCCTGACAGCAAGGAGACTGGGGGCACAAGAGGCTGGGACACATGACCCCAGCTGGCCAGAAGAGCATTCCATACCCTATGGCATCTTGCTGAGTGATAAAACTGGAGGGAGTTGGCTGGAGGTGGCCTGCCTGGGGACTCACTGAGCATTGTTTCAGTGGTGGTGAGCATTGCATTATGCATAATTTCTTTTCTCTATTCTTTTATCATTATTACTATTTCCCCTTACTTTTCTGTTCTATTAAACTGTCTTTCTCAGCTCATGACTTTTACCTTTATTTCCATTTCTCTCCCCCATCTCACTGGTGGGGAGTGAGGGAGCAGCTGGGCGGTATTTGGCTGCCTGCCGGGTTAAACCAATAAACCACTATAAATAAGCAAAACAGAATAGGGAAGCAAAGCTCTTTCTCCTCATCCCTGCCAATGAGGCCACTGAAGTCAGAAGCTAATTGCCTGAAAAAGAATTAGCAGACAGAGAAGTCTGAGGGGTTTTGTATCTATAGAAAAAAATAAATTCCCAAACATTGATTTATATTGTTAAAATTCTGATGCATACCAATAAGAGATCAAGATGCTCTCTGGTTGTAAAGGCTTTTTGTGTCTTTTACAGCTAAATCTCCAGACATTTGTTTAGAATAATACAACAGAAAAGCAAATAAGATCCAGAAATTAATTATTTCTTTATGAGGACTTGTTAACTAATTCTTAATTAAGATGCAGTGTAAAAAGACTTTGCTCTGTACCCACATAATTTATTTTCTGGAGGCTGCTTCCCTAGTTGAAGATGGCAGGGCAAAGCCATTTATATAGTCACTGTATTACAACTCCTTATGTGTAACTTGTCTTGACTGACAGGATCACTGTACCTTATCCAAACAACACGAAATCAGTTGTTCATCATCTCTTGGAAGACAGAGCTTCCTTTTCTTTGAAGAGAGCCATTCTGAGTAGAAAAATAAATGTTCATTGCAATTTTATAAATAAAAGCCAGATCTTTTCTTCATGGATCATTGTGTTTAGATGCAAATGTCATCTTTGGATCAAGTTCCATTAGATGTACAGGGTAGTACTTCTGAAAGGATATTGCTAATTTCTGCAATATTTGATTTATATATTATGAATTTAAAAAGACAGCTCTGCAACACAGCCAATGTTTTTGTGTTATAGGTATTTAAACTTGCTGCTAGATGTTCCTCCCTTGAATTCAGTTTGTATACTCCACTGGGCCCACAGAATTAAGAGATCTAAAGTAAACATGTACAGTCGAGGTGTACTGTTCATTTTGTGTAGATGTCTTTGATTCACAGCAAAAATTATTTTCTGACTTACTTGCAATTGTAAAGCTCAGTCTCTTTGCCAGCTAATTGCTACACTAGCTTATGCTTCACACCATACGGAAACACCCTTTTAAATATGCAAAAAAAGAAGCTAAAAATAAATCACAGCTGCTGTTAGATGGGGGTTGAAAGATACAGCCAAGGCAGGAAAAAAAAAAAAAAAAGGAACTGTCTCAGTTTAAATACAGCTAAGCCATTTTTAATATTGAGAAGTTATTTTTCTGCTCTCCAAATCAATATTCATTAATAGTATTCAGAACAGAGAACTTTGAATATAAAGCACTGAGATAACACTAGTAATTACAACATGTGGTTTCATAGCTGTAATATTTTTGTACTCTGTGTTGCTTTAATGATTGCTGTTACAATTTTTATTTGGCTTATGAGGGCTGATTTATATTAACACATTTCTTACTGGTATGCTTAATTTAAGTTCAAATCTTGATCTTAGCTTACAACAACACACAGCTCTGTAGGTGGAAAAGGATTTTCCTTTGCAGTAGTAATTGCTTCTGACCAGCAATGGTAGCTTGACCTCACCCACTCAAGATCAAGTGAATATATTGAGTGAATATATATATTATCTCTGATTTCCTACAATCAGCAAAGTAGAAATCTGAGAAACATTTCACTGTGCTGTGCACGTTATCCAGAACTGATCTATGATAGAAAGCTACAATTTATTGCACAGTCTCACATATTCTGCATAATTCCGACCTCCAAACAGCCTGTGACAGATCTGTGGGTACCACAGCACAGGAGTGGCAGTGAGCAAGGAGAAAATGAAATCTTTTCCCTCAACTTTTTATCTTAAACTGCCATAAAACTGTAATATTTGTCGCACTTGAGGAGTCTAAACCAAACATCAGCATAAGCTTCATTTAACTCATGGTCTTTTCAGGACTTCCCATCCATCTTTGTAAGAATGGAGAGTAGGGGATGGACCTTGCCTGCTCCTTCCCATTGGTGGCAGCAGGGCTGGCTCAGCCCAGAGCCCAGTGTGGCTCCCCTGCTGCTAGAGAAGGGAGAGAAGGGATGAGGGTACAGGCCTGGGCCAGGAAGAGGGAGGCACAGCTGCAGGAGACAGCAGGGCAGGCACCTGTGAAGGTGCACTGACTGTAAAGGCAGCCTTGGTCATGCTGTCAGGCAGGACACTGTGAGCTGGTGTGGCAGAAATGGTCTCACTAGGAAAAGGTTATATTTTAATGCTGATTATTTCCCTGGTCTATCTGTCCATCTGGTCACTGGGACCTAGCATGACACTGCTGAGGGAATGCTAGGGCTAAGATTTAGAGGGAAAAGAGGGAACTACTTACCCCAGCCTCACAATGGAGAGATTACTCTGGGAGCCCATATCCTCAGTCATTCTGCTCTTCCCCATCCTCTTTCTTCAGACCCAGCTGATACTGCTGGGAAACAGAAAGCAATCCCTCACAGGCATTAAGAGAGCTGTTCTGGAAACTATCTTTGCAGTTAAAGAGGGGCAGCAGCATGTTCCAGATTAATAACAAATGTGTTCAAGTTCATCATGGGGACAACCTGGTGATAACAGATCAGACTCTCATGCAAATACCTGCCTTAATCAGTAACAAAATTTACATTACTATCTGCCTCCATCCAGTGTACCACCAACAGAAATTTTAAAACTTCCAGTTTTACAGTGGTTCAATATTTTTTGTGTGTTTAGAGAAGTCTTTAAACTCAAATTGCCTGCCTTCTTCAGAAAGCAGTGACTAGAGCCACCACCACCGGAGACAGGCTTCACGTCTCAGAGAAAAACTAGTGAAACAGCTGTGTTATAGACTTGAAAGAGTCACCTGCAAAAAATGTCAGGTGTGTTACCAAAATGATAAGATATTTCTGGTTAGTAGAATCCTCCAGGATGCATGTCTGATTGTCAGACCTGGAAGCTGAAGCAGGATTGCATGAAAAAAATTTGCTCTCCTCAGTACCAGGCTTCCCTCTTGCAGTGAAGCTCAGGATTAATTAGGTGCTTCAGTAGTACTTTGTCCCTTGTGAAACAGACATCTATGACTGAGGTTGGCTACCTGCTCAATTCACAGCTTAAAAATCTTCATGTTTTCAGCTGGATTGCACCGAATGATTTTCTGAAACAGTCTCTGTCTGTCACTTCTCCTTACCTAGAACGTACTTCCTAGTCTCACTCCAGGGCTGAGGTGAGCCTGTGCTCAGCCCCCTGCTTGGTGTGACTTCCTTTCTTGTCCCAGCCTTCTCAGTACAGACGTATCTGGTGGCCCATGGGCTGCACTGAGCCTTTATTATTGGCCAATAATAATATGGCCAATAATAATGCTGGCCAAATTAGTATAATATGGCCAGCTGGGATATCTCTGCTCCAGGCAGTGCCATTCCCTCTCTTTCCTTGCAGGACCACTGTGGATGCTGTCCTCCAGAAGGGTCTGTGTTGCTATAAGTCAGCAAAGAGTGTTTCAGTCAATGCACCCCTGATATTGCTGTTGGGCCTGTGTGCATCCCTCCCTGCCAGAACTGGCATCAGTTACCAACTGTGGTGGTTACTCACTTCATATCCATTCTAGCAGCAGAAAAGAAATAATAAAAGCCTTGCCCTGGCAGGCATCAACCAGAGCTATAAAGCATATGTGCAGCTTGTTCCAGAGACTCCTCCACAACTATGGAAAATGGTTTTATTCTGTCTTGAAGGATTTTTTTCTCCAAGGCATTGTGCAAGCCATGACAAATGAGTCACTCCTTAACAAACAATTTTTATCAATTAATGATACTTCATATTGACAAGCCTCAGGGCTTTACTGATTATTTGGTGGATTTTAATTATGCCTTCAGACACACTTGGTCCTTTCTGATGGGGAGAGATGACTACTGGGACAGGTGTTTTTCTCACTTGCTTTTCTTGAGCCTGACTGCCAGCAGAGTCTGCTTTCAGCTATGATGTAGGATCTTCCCTCAGCCCTGCAACCAAATTATCTAAACAGCCTACAGGAGTCCCTATGCCCAACCATAACCAGCCCTCAGGTCTCAACTGCTTCTACTGTAATGCAGGGCAGGCATGTCAGATTTTGGGGTTCATATTCTGGTGTCTCTACTCCCACGGTGCAGTTTCTCTGTTACTTCTCAGCCTTCTGACATGCCAAACTAGTGCACTCCAAATGTGAGCACTCCTCATTTTCCACCAATGAATTTAATCATATACAGCAGTAAACTGAAAAGCTTAATTATGCAAACATGGATGCAAATGAAGAATATGAAACTTGGCAAAGATCCTTAGAGGGCAGCAGAAAGTGGAGCATGCCATGACAGAGGCCATTCAGGAGAATGCACGGAGACTGCTGACGCTGGCTGCAGCCTCTCTGGGTGCCACTTGCATGCCCCAGGTCACAGGAACAAGGACACACTTAAGCACAGGCTGCTGCTTCTCTGTTGTAGGATTGCAGTGGGAATGTGGATTGCAAGCCCTGTTCTCTGCCCTCACAGGTCAGTATGTCATGCTGTTCTTTTGAACTCAAGAAACACTGCATAAAAATCTCTTCCTTTATGTCATCCTTGCTTTACTTGAATGGCTACTCCAGAGCAGACTGGTTTAGAGAAGAGGAACATTTTTAATTCCCAGCCTACCTGTATTTATGTCTAGCGTGCAAAGTAGTTTGCTTATACTGACTGTCCCTTTTCCAAAGTGCTTCTGCTTCACCTCCATTGTACAATTATGAACAACAACAACTGTGCTACACCTCCTACTGTCTCCTATTAATAGGCTGGCCAAGTTAAGAGTCACCAGCCTTCTCTCACAGGAGAGACTGCCCCTTCTCCTGCCTCTTCTGCCACTACAATGTGCTCTCCCAACCAGTGACCAGCCCAGTAGGCAGGACTCTGTGGAACACCCTGTTGCTGCGGGCATGGCCTCTTCTGGGCTTCTCTTTGAGGGCTCCCTTAACAGGGGAAGCCCTCTTGGAGTAGTTTTGTGTTAGGAACAAGAGACGCATTGGACTTTTTTTTGGCCTTTAGCTTCTGTTTATTGTTATTTTATTAAAACTTTAGTACACTGCACTAGATTTTGCATGTAGGAAAAACAGCACAAAAATGGCCTTAGATGTATAGTTTTAAGTTCTTTTAAGGTTGAATCAAAACTAAACTACCTAATTAAGAAATTACACAAATTATTTTCTCTTTTAATTTAATAACTGATCTCTTAAGACTTGTAATGTGGACTTTTTTGTCTAATTGTAAGGTACCATTTAAATTTATGAAGAAGAAGGAAGAAAAAGGAACTTGAGACAACACTCTATACTCTATCTTGTTTCATATGTATTACTACATTCTAAAAATTAAGTTTTCTATCTTGTGATATTACATACTTCTAACAAATGACACACTCATAATTTTAGTGTTATTAATAAATTCTAAAGTTTTTTCTACAGCCCTAGGTAAAATGTAGTGTTTTCTTGTAAGCCTGTGCATTTTAGCACAGAAAGTTTAAAATTCTCAGCATCTAGGATTCTAACAGTCCTCCAAACACATTTGCTTTTCACATGATTGCCTCTTGTGGTGGTTCATTCTTCAATCTGTAATCACATGCCTTCCTGTCTGGATGGCAACAGTAAGGGCCTTGCTATCACATGGGTTATGTAATTCTCAAAAATATAATCTTTCATTATATTGACATTCATCCTGTCTCTAATACTGTAGTAGTGAAGTTATCTCTCCAACAGGATATCCAAGCCTCTTTTCATGTCACCACACGTGTTCAGGACTTTAACGATTCTCACCAACACTGCTCATATTTATTGTGCTGAATTCACTAATGGAAATATTTAAAAAGATGGGTCTGAAGACTAAGGAATTTCTCACTACTAACATTTCCTTGATTTAATGTTTTGCAGTGCCTCCATTTATTCCACAGACATAAGATGACAAGAACTGACAGAAGAGCTCATGGAACTATGCAAAAAGGCAGCTCCAGCCCAGGGCAGATTGCAATTGGGATCTGCAGGCAATGACTTTGTTACAAGTCAGCATCAAGTTGCTCTGATGGCAGCCAGTGAACAATTGATTTGTGAGAGTAGTGGTGGGAGCTTGTGAGGTGATTACTAAAGTGTTGTGGCTGCAGAATGTTTGGTTTTCCTATCACCCCTGCAGTGAGGGTCAGCTTGAGGAGAGGACAGTCCCTCTGTCCCCCCCACTAGGTGCTGGTGATGGCATTTACAAATGTTCCATTCCTGTATGGACAGCAACTGTGCTACACAGGGTCTGTGGACAAATCACTGTGAAAGAGAAACACCACTGGGAGTGACTTATTTGACCAGGTGGGCAAAATCAGCTGCTCCTGTATGAGCAGTTTCAAGTGTGCCCAGCGTGCCCACAGCTCCAAGTATCTTTCCTAGTAAACCCCCAGATCCATCCCTGGCCGTGGCAGTGAGCACACTTCTGAGTAATGCCTGAGCATGGTCAGAGCAGTGTGGCTGGTTTGCTTGGGAGGATGAGGCCATTTTTTAGCATAGATGTAAGCAACTCAGTGCCAGTTGGCCTCTACACCTAGGAGCATTCCTTGGCACATCTGATTTATTTTTATAGGCACAGACTTTGTGAATACTGCTGTGGTATACCTTGGCAGTATGCATGGTACTATGTGGCCCAGACTTATTTGAATATAAAAACATTATTTTTTTTTGCCTTTAAAAATATGAGTACCTGCTTATACATTTTATATACTGGGGGAGGGGGGGTTGGGGCGGGGGAATCAGTGTATTCTCTAGTCTGGCTGATGAGGCCATTCCCTGCTATGAGAGCACCTGGCAGGAGATGGCTCAGCTGTGCACTGATCTGCTGCTTAATGGATTCAGAACCAGTTTTAGGCAAAATGAAAGCAAAATGGACACTACCTGTAACCCAGCTGAGATGCCAGGAAGCCTGGTGCTCTTCAAAGTAGTGGGGTAAGAGCTAAATGGCACAATATTTACAAGGGTAACGCAAAGAGCTTTCATTGGCATAGGCTTAGAGCACCATCAGTTTGCAGGGCTGGCACAGGCAAATAAACAGCTCATCTGTCATCACTGGGAGCAGTCCAGAAGAGGTAGGCATTGAAAGGGCTTTGTGTGCCTGGAGCTTTGTGTGGCAAGCGGCAGTGCACAATGAAACGGGATAAGGAAATGTGATGCTGCATTACTTTGTCACATCCGTGCCAACTGGCAACTGCTTTAAGCAATTTTGGAATCTATGAAAAGTTTGGGTGAGCCTGCTTATTTCTTGTGTTTCCTTAAGTACTTATCTGCCAACAGAGTGTGGAGCTATGGTCTTCATTAAAGCAAGAAAAGGATGTTTAAAAAGAGTGAAACGACGTTGTTAAGAGCTGATCAAACTGACATTGAACTGCAAACTGACTTTTGCAGCAAAGTTTGAAAATGTCAGCAAAGTGCCTGTGATGCTGTTTGTGGGGAGGATCCCAGCCCTGTGCATCACTCCCCAGTGATGGGGTTACACGTTACCAGTATTTCTGCTCTTCTATTCACTGTTGCAGTGGGCAGAAGAGGAAGAGGCCCAAGCCCCTGCCAGTATCCTGACGGACCCCTGTCCACCACAGCATTTTTCAGGAGCTTTCTCAGGTTGGAGTGCAATAGTAAAGAAATGGTGGTAGAGCTGGAGAGATCTGCTGTACAGTCCCCTCTGCTCATGGTTCCTCTCCCTCCAGTTACCCATGTGGTGCTCTGATACCACCTTACCCTCTCTGGCCATCAGCAGCCTGTCCCTGTCTCCTCTAGCTCCTGGGTCATGGTGGTCGCTGAGCTCAGACTCAACCTTTACATTCTTGTAGTTTCCTTGTTTTCCTCCTCTCTCCTGGTATTTGAGGTCCTCTTCCCCAAAGTCCCCACTGGCTGCTGTAGCCTAGGAAAAGTGCAGATCCTGTTTTACAACAAAGGAATCACAGTATTGAATTTATCCTGGAAAAGTAATAAAAGAAAATACCTTTTTGTGCTCTTTCCTACAGCAAGACCACAGCTAGATACTTGTGACAGTTCACTAAACCTTTATTTCCTCTTTCAATATATGTCTATCAGAAGTGTTTGTCACCTAAGTTATTTGATAGCACAAACAATAGCAATGGTTTGAGATTCCAGTTATATTTATAAAAATTAAGAAAATAGTTTTTAGGTTGGCAAAATACCTGGGCACAATTCAAACATGACCTCTTCTAGCAGTTGTGATCTTTATATCATAGTGCATCCAGGGTTTTATTTATTAGCAGGTGCTAAGTGTGCAAAGGCAATTACTTTTTCAGCTCTCACATAAAAGTGTTTCTATGCTAAAAAGCCTTTTGTCATTTGGTGGTGGAGTAGCAAATCAGTGGATGAAGACCAACTGCAAATTACAAGAGGGGTAAAAAATGCAGTGACATCAGGCTTCATCAGCCAAGAACAAAAAAAATAAGCAAATATAAACAGGATACTGAAGAGTGGGATAGAAGCCTGTTCACCAGAGTTCTGTCTTCGCTTTTAATCCCCATGTTCAGGGGGCACAGAGAAGGACCAGGTACCCCTCCAGGGACTTTTCCAGTGGGCACAGTCAGCAGAGTTTGTAACAGAGACAGCTCAGGACCCCATCTGCATAATGGTAAGAATGTCCTAAATTCAGCGAATGCTGTGCATAGACAGACTACAGATACACAGTCACTTCTGCTGTCTGCCATTTTAAATACTGAAAAGTCAGTATTTTATTAAAGACCAATACAAAAAAAAAAATCCCTAGCTGCAGGCTTGGATAATAGCTCTCCATCTAGGGTTGCTCTTGCTAGTGATGGCAGAGGAAGCCATTACTTCTTCCCTTGACCGGACAAAAGCCATCTCATAGCAAACACAAGCTACCAAAATAATTTCAATCACTGGTCATGGGATTACATGGAATATTTCTCCAGGCAACATCAGCTTGGCGTCAGCTGTGACTTCAGTGCTGATAACGTTCCTGCCTTCTCTGCTTTGTTCTTAAATTTTACCCAAACAGCCCAGAAGACTGGGATCCAGTCCTGCTTCCTCTGCTGCCTGAGCTTTAAGACTGCTGCAAGTCTCATCCTCAGTTAGAAGTGCAGATAGTCTGCAACAGCCACCAAATGTGGCTGTGGGGCCCATGCTGGATGAAGCATTTGGCAATCTTATGTTAGGGAAATTATCCCTGATGTCTTAGCTTGCAGGCAGTCTGAAATAGCAGCCTGGAACAAAGTCTATGCTTGTAGACAGATGGTATAGTGCAGTGTGGGTAAAAGCCAAACAAAAGCCTGTGGTAGCACTACAAGTAACCCAATGTGGACAGGGAAGCTTCATTCATAATGCTTTCACAAGATTTTAGGTCTAGTTTTCCACACAGCATCTCTCTTTTGCCACTTTTCTAGGCCTACCACATCTTTGCATTCAGGTGCAAGAGCTCTGAGGGAAGCTTTTTTTGTGGGGAGTGAAAGACACTTGCAGAATTCCTTACATCATGTGTGTGCACAAATGCCTCCTGTCCAACAGGCTGTTTCTACCACAGGGAGGCGGGAACAAGGTGCCTACTTAGTCACACAAATATAAATGAATACAAATATAAATAAATCACTGACCACAGGAAAAAAGACCTATTTCTCAATGGGGAGCAGTGACAGTTTTAAGGAACTTGAACTGATAAGAATTTATTGTAGGATACATAAACATCAATCTGATCATAGCCCATGTGGCATGCTTTGTCCTGGGACACAGTAACATCACTTGGGTTTATGAGTTTTCATTAAAGCAGAGGGGGAGCATAACTACTCATAGGCATGAGATGAGTCTGATTCTCTCCTGCCTACTTAAACTTAGGTAAGAAGCTGTCCTTTGGGAAAAAAAACAAAATTGCATTAGTACATGTGGGAACTTAAGAATCAGACTTGTCAATCAGGGCTTTCACTGCATGGGTAGTACAGTCAGTAATGGATATCAGCTGGCATATGACCAGGATTTCTCAGTTTGTCTAGAACTTCTTCATTGTCATTTTGACCAGAATGTATCACTACAATGTTGTTAACGGTGCCAGCGTAGCTCTGTGCATGGCTAAGCATTCCTGAGTAAAACTGACTCTGCTTCTGTGCAATGGATGTATTTCCCTGATCAATTTATACTTAAGCATGGAAAATCAAGAAAAGTGGTAATAGTATTTTTCTGGGTAGTTGTAGCTAATGCTTTCTCTGCTTTTCACTTATGGCCTGGGAAGAATGGTTTTGCTACCACTGAACCATGAGGGGAAGAGAGGAAAGGTACAGAACAGCTGGGTTTAATGAGCTGGAACAAATATAAGTGTCACCCTGTTCTTTTAAAAGTTTTAAAATTATTTTAAAAGTAGATGATGTATTACATGAAACAACTCACGCACGCACACTAAGATTAAAAGAGTAAAAGGAAGTAAAAGGAGAGAACTTTATTTCTGACCTTGCAATATACAGAATTCTAAAAGTGGCAGTGGATTGGAGGATGACATTGCTACATCTCCAACCACACTGGTTAAACTAAGAGTCAATCAATTTTCTCTTATCATAAAGAAGAATGCAAAACAATTATTATTTACATGACAGTGTGTGACAAACTCCCGTAGAAATATGTAAACATTAGAAAGTATAGAAAACTTTTAGAAGAACTTTAAAACTTTTAAAAAAACAAAGTAACATATAAGTATTAAAGCAGCATGTACACTTGTCATGCAAAGAGGAGTTACATGTATATAAATGACTTAAGTTACAGAGTTTACAACTGACATTATACCCCAAAAAGAGTCAAAATTTGGTGTCTTAAATTCTGTCATTGAAAACAAACAAATCCATAGCAATTTAAGTTATGAGGGCATAAACTATCAATCTATATTTTTATCTGTGGTGAATTTTTCATTTTGGATTAGGTCATGGTTTACTTTTACAGCTATCTGTTCCTCTTCTCTTGAATTTTACATTAGGTTATCTGGGTGTTTCCAAGGCAAATTCCTAGAGTGCTAGTTGAGCAATCATTTATTCTTTTGAGGACTACTCCAGAGGTGATGCATTAACATTTTTGAGTCTTTGTGTAGCATTTATGTGCAGCCGGAAAGGAAAAAAAATCTTTAATCCATTGAAGAGAAATGTTAGTAGAAAGAGAAGTAGAAGAGAAATGATAGTTTTATAATTTCAGTGAAAGCATTAAAATAAATCATATGTTAAGAGGATCTCATACTTCAACACTAATTCAATCTTAAATGACAGGATCTGGTATTGGGAATACAGACTTTTCTCTGTGGGATTAAAGGTGTCAATTTATATTTATGCAAATAAATTAAACTGCTTAATTTTAGACTGAGATTAACTGTTTTTCTTTCTGGTAGCTTGACAGTTTCCAGTATTTAAATGAGCCTCGGATGAGATCATGATGGAAAAAAATTCAATCTGTAATTTATTCTTTAAATCAATGCAAGCCGTTAGTACTAGGGTTAGAAATTTAATAAAACATAATGATTATTAAAGTGGCTTAGAGGAAATAAAATGTCCCAAAAAGGTGCTGCTTTTGCAATGATGACAGTATCTGTGTATAAAATTTGAAAGAGCTTTTCCTAATTCCCCATGAAAAATTACTATTTCACTTTTAGGGATTCAGTCCATAAAAGTCTCCCCCTACCATCCAACAGCCACCTGGAGACAGGTGGGCAGCAAGCACCACTAACAACTGTTCCCAGGCCAGTGAAATCACATTAACTCCAGAGGGGATTCAGCCTCAGAGAACTCAGCTTGTTTTGTCGAGTGGCTGGTGCTTGGCTGCTCTTTGTAAGGTGTCTCCTGCCAAAAACTCCTCCCAGCAGATGGTAACAGCTGGGTTATGCCTGACTTCAGAAAACTACAGAAGGAACCCTTGTCAAGGGCCTATTGTGTGATCCAATGGCTTTCCCTTGTGAGAGAGCTTTTGTTGCACAAGGCATGATGTACTCAGGGTTTCTGGGAGCACATGGGTTGAGTCGCCTGCCTTGGTTTAGCAGAATATTGTCTGGATCCTAGGACACAGGATACATCCCAATGATCCAGATGGAATCTGACCTTTGTGAATGTGAAATATATTCCTTCAAATAAATGAAGTCTCTTCTTACTGTTGATGTTAAAAATATTTTGACACTGGATATTTTTAATTGCTGTAAGAGAGGCCATTGAGACACTGTAAGGATATATAAGGAAAAGCAGGAGTTCCTGACTCTCTGTGATAGTCTTTTTATTAATGTGTGGACCTATGCCACACAATGTTCCATACAACAGATGACTATGTAAATTACTTATCTCACTCCATATGTAGATTGCAAATGATCAGTTGAAGCTAAAATCATACAAAAATATGTTTCGATTGTGTGTATAAATAAATCACATTTCCTTTTTTTTTTTTTTTTTTTTTTTTCTTTTCTAGCAATGGCTTTATTTTACTCATATTATGCTGTCAATTAATTTTTAACTCTCCAGAGAGTTCTCTGGATTAACCAGGAGCCTAATTAACAGGTCTGTAATGGCTCATCAAGCTATATTTTCAAGTCCTGGTTGACATCCAATACTTAAGAATCCAAATTTCATTCAAAGTGTATTTCCCTGACTGCAACTTGAGCACCAATTAGAGCTGTAGCCCATGCTAGTTTCTGGACACTTAATTCTAGTTAAAAGAAGTTGACTTCAACTTTTCATCTTTATTCAGAGATGAATTACCGCACACTAAATCGCAGCTGTTTAAAGAAGATAAGGAAGGAAAAGGTTCTGCAGGCACAGAGATTTGTGCTATCTCATGTTAACATCAAAATAGCGAGTCAGATCCTGTATTTTTGGGGTAGTTCTGATGCTTATAACAACAGTCAAAACACAGCTCTTATGTGACATTTTAAATGTCACTTAAGAAATGAGGTTCTGGTGTTCCTGTTGTCTTCATGTGGGGCCTGTCTACCTCCAATCCCTCATCTTTTTATATTAAACGAGGTGCCCAGTCAGAAGCACATGGGACAGATAATTATTTAAATCCATTTAAATTTAATTTAAGTTTAATGGAGATAAGAAGCAGGATGGGAGGTACAAGCTGTTCTTTACTTTACTACAGGAATGACTTGACCACGAAGAGTGTAACTGTATAGCCAATTCAGAGTTCTCACAAAGAAATGTTATATCTGCCTCAAGTTCAGAAAACACTTGAATAGATACTTTTATATCTTCTTAGACATGAGGAAGTTAATACCATTAGCTCTGCTGCTCAAAGAAGTGTTTTCTTAGTTGTGCTTAATACCAGAGATCCACCTGTGACTAAGTGACTAAGGCAGATGGATGTAGCACACCAGGCAAAGATCTGTCTCTAAATTCTTCAAGTGTCAATGTGAGACCTGATTTTCACAGTTCAGACCAAGAACAATTTTATTGTATCTCAGAGAAGGACACAGCTTTTCTCCAGCAGTAAGTCTCTCACTAAAAACCTCATACCAATGTGCATATAGGTAACTAGAGGGAAAAAATAGGTGCAGATTTTGCTGTAGCCTTTATGACTGTAAATCATGAGGAACGTATTTCATACACAGTTGGATTAAACTAGATTTACAGTAGTGCTACCAGAAGGATACAGGCTTGGGGTCTTGAGGTGCCCTGACACAGTGATTTATTTAGCTGTGGGAATTGTCTTCAGATAATTACATAACAGACAGGTGTGGCTACACAGAGGAGTAATCAAAATTAGTGAATTTATTCACTAATATTAACATCTAC